CTCTCTCTCACACACATGCGCGCGCACGCGCGCACACACACACACACACACAGCAGTCAGGCTGCACTGACCACAACAATAAAAACTGTAGGTGACTGTCACTTTTCTAAACAGAAAGCTCTATAAAGTTACACCTCCGAAAACCTTATTTCCAGCCTCCACCAATTCTTCTCCAACCAGAACTCAAATTCTGAATAAGAAAAAATAATTTAGGGTAGTTGTTTCCAAGTGAGTTGACTGTCCCTGAATTTTGAGGATGATTCATGATATTCATTTACAAACCACTTCTCTTTCCCTTTTGACTCAGCCTTGCAGTGTGGAGGAGGGCAACATGAATCAGATTTTTAAAATCATTCTTTTCCAGGTGATTCCTACACACCCTGAAATGGGGGAACCACCAGTGCAGCAGAAGGATATTACAGGTGACGAGAGATAGACATGAATAAACTGGTTAACCAGAACAGTTTTCATCCCACCTGAATCATCATCCCTCTACCTGCCCAATTTTTGTTACCCACATTTGAAAATACACAGTCATCTGTTAAACATATTGATTACTCAGGGGATACATTTTTCTCCCCTAGATTTTTCTCTATAAAATGAATTCCTTAATAAAATATTCTCAAAGTGACAAGTCATTGTTTATTGTCTCCCCCCCCCCCCCCGCCACTAATGGGGAAGTGATATAGTGACCCTGATGAACAACGTTTGCAGCAGGATTTTAGAAAGCTGGAGACGTGGAGCTTCCAAGACAAGCCATGGGGCTGGGCTCCCTCCATGGCCACCACCACACAGAAGGACATTTCCTGGCTCCATTTTAAGTTAAATTCTGGCTGCACCAAGGAGGGAAAGGCAGTATCAGATGATAGGTCTTGCGAGAGGACCTAGGGGTCTTGACTCTCTAACTCTGTGAACTTCTAGCCCTTAGTGCTCCCTCCAGGGTAAGAGGGAGATGGGCCATCTAACGCGTGTGAGCTAAGTGTCTCCAAAATAAAATGTGCATTTGAGGAAAATTAAAGAGTATTTACTATAAAACAAAAGAAAAGCAGACTTCTGGAGCCCACTCCTATTTTTGCTTCTTGAAAAGATCCTGAACCAAATCACATGGTTATTTTTACAAGATCTTGGCATTCTAGGTGAAATCACCCACCTTTGGACACTGTTCAAGGACTATTCTCCAGACTCCATTTGGGTCAGACGTTCAAATGGCTAACCAGGTCATTTTGTTTCCAGATCCACCAAATTAATGTAGGTAGACGTAAGCCAGCATAGAGCTAGCTGAACAAAAAGCTGAGCCAAAAATACAAACTTAAATGTAGAAGTCAGAATTCTTTTCTCTAAGCTTGTAGGTTCTGTCATAATTTAGTGCTTATTTCCTTCTGCCTTGGGCTATAACTAGTGGACTTATCCCAAAGTAGGAGCATATCTTAATAATCTTTGTAGTCTTCCCATGCTTAGCCCTAGAAAACTGTATTGTTTAATGAATATTTAATTGAATTGACTATTAAAATGGTTACACTAATGGTAGTAACTCAGATAATTAACATGAGTACAAGGTTTATCATTTCTTAAATGCTTTTTAAAAAACATATTCTGGGCTTCCCTGGTGGCACAATGGTTGAGAGTCCGCCTGCCGATGCAGGGGACACGGGTTCGTGCCCTGGTCCAGGAAGATCCCACATGCTGCGGAGCAACTAAGCTCATGTGCCACAACTACTGAGCCTGCATGCCACAACTACTGAAGCCCGTGCTCCTAGAGCCTGTGCTCCACAACAAGAGAAGCCACCATAATGAGAAGCCCATGCTCTGCAGAAAAGAATAGCTCCCACTCGCCCTAGAGAAAGCCTGTGTGCAGCAACAAAGACCCAATGCAGCCAAAAATGAATAAATAAGATAAATAAATTTTACAAAAAGACACACGTACCCCAATATTCATTGCAGCACTATTTACAATAGCCAGGACATGGAAACAACATAAATGTCCATCAAGAAAGGAATGGATAGGGCTTCCCTGGTGGTGCAGTGGTTGAGAGTCTGCCTGCCAATGCAGGGGACACAGGTTTGAGCCCTGGTCCGGGTAGGTCCCACATGCTGCGGAGCGGCTGGGCCCGTGAGCCATGGCCACTGAGCCTGCGCATCGGGAGCCTGTGCTCCGCAATGGGAGAGACCACAACAGTGAGAGGCCCACGTACCACAAAAAAAAACAAACAAAAACAAAAACAAAAAAAAAAAAGAAAAAAGAGAGGAATGGATAAAGAAGATGTGGTATATATAGATACAGTGGAATATTACTCAGCCATAAAAAGGAACGAAATTGGGTCATTTGTAGAAACGTGGATGGACCTAGACACTGTCATAGAGAGTGAAGTAAGTCAGAAAGAGAAAAACAAGTATCGTATATTAACATATATGTGGAATCTGAAAAGTTGATGTAGACGATCGTATTTACAAAGCAGAAATAGAGGCACAGATAAAGAGAACAAACGTATGGATACCAAGGGGGAAGGGGGGGTAGGATGAATTGGGAGTTTGGGATTGTCATATATACACTATTGATACTATGTATAAAATAGATAATTATTGAGAACATACTGTATAGCACAGGGAATTCCACTCAATGCTCTGTGGTAACCTAAATGGGAAGGAAATCATGTTGACTTTTAATGTAATGAAACATATATTTTAACCTACGTTTTTCTCTAATGATCAAACAAAACAATGCCTTTTGCCTACCCTGCAATTAAAGTAAGAAATTGAGCATGTTTTTACTTTACTTTAGTTTTTTTATCTTACCTTAAAATATACTAGGAACCATTCTATTATAGACCCAATGACACAAAGGTTTTTTTTTTAATTCATGTTTTTTTTCCAAAAACATTTTTTAGCTTATGTATTTAACTCTGGAACTAATTTTTTAAAACACATAATTATTCGTAGGCTGATTCACATGGACCATCGATACTTTTATATCTTGACTTCCTTATTTTCAAGTTATTACTTTTAATTCTTTTTCATGTCCTATTGAGTAGGTCTGTGAATAAGTTTTAAGGAAGGCCATGGGAGAGAAATTCCTTCTGATTCTTAGATTTCTGAAGATATCTTTCCACTGCTTGTACTCATGAATTAAATTTGGTTTGGAATGGCATGCTTAGATCATGAGTTTCCTCTTTAGAGGAGCAGGTCTTACTCCATTTGGAGATGGTGAATAAAGATTTAAGTTAAGCTTGTTTTTTTCCATTTGTTGGTAAACTATTATTTTCTGTCTGGTTGCTTTAATGAAATTCTCTTTACTCTGCATTTGCAAGCTATATCCAGGTATGGTTTTTATCCTATTAAAATCTTGATTTTTTTTTACACTAAGAAAAATATATTTCTTTTATGTTGGTTATTATATTTCTGCTCCTTTTGTTCCAGCATTTTCAGGAATATTTCAGGAATATTTCTTATCCATGGGTTGTATTTCTACTATTTTCACTCTGTGTGATTATCATCTCATGCCATTTCATCATTTTTTTAAATTAATTAATTTATTTTTAGCTGCGTTGGGTCTTCATTGCTGCACGCGGGCTTTCCCTAGTTGCAGCGGGCGGGGGCTAATCTTCACTGTGGTACATGGGCTTCTCATTGTGGTGGCTTCTCTTGTTGCAGAGCATGGGCTCTAGGCACGCAGGCTCAGTAGTTGTGGCTCACAGGCTCTAGAGCACAGGCTCAGTAGATGTGGCACATGGGCTTAGTTGCCCCACGGCATGTGGAATCTTCCCAGACCAGGGCTCAAACCCGTGTCCCCTCCATTGGCAGGCAGATTCTTAACCAATGCATCACCAGGGAAGTCCCCATGCCATTTCATCTTTATCCTTTATTTCTACAGTCTTGGAAAGCTAGTTCATAGATTACATTTTCTCCATTGTTAGTTCTGCTTATAAGTGCATCTTTGCCTTCGATCGCATCCTTCTCTTACTTTGGCTGGCTCCATGTTTGATAAGGCAGGGAATGTGGAGAGATTTAAACCCACCTGGATGTGTCCTGGGCATCTGGCAGGAACTCTCCTCAGACCTACAACTGAAGGATGGAGTGGTTTGCACAAATCTGGCCCAACTTCCAGCAGGTACTCATCAGTCTCTCTGTTTCACAAGGTGGATTTTGACCATTTCTGCTCCCAAGGCTCTTCTGTCGCAGAGCATTTCCGAAGAGAATACCCATCCCCATGTGCCATTCATCCTCCTCCCGCTCTGTGTTGTACTGGGAGATGTGACCTTGGAATCAATATAAAAAGAGACGAACTAAAGGGGGAGAGTTTCATGGGACCCAATTCTGGTCCTCTTGGAACATAATTCCTTTGCAGAGGGGGAGCCGTGGTCTGACTTCAGGTTACGGTAGCCCTGAGGTCCTGAGCCTGGGTAGAAAGTGGGATAAGTAAAGCCTTCTCTTGGGGTCTTGTTGTCTATTCCATGTTGGGATTAGGAGATGAAACAGATATTGCTGGGGCGGGGGTGTTTCCTCAAACCAACCCCATTGGTACAGTACTTGGTACAAATTCCCTCTAGATTTCTTATCAATGCTGATAAGGGGTTTTATGTTTTTGCAGAACGTCATGGGCATTTTAATAGGAAATAGAGTGCATCTCAGGCTAATTCAATGGTTAATTTTCACATGTGCCTGATGCACGCCCCCCCCCCAAGAAAACAATGTATTCACTATTACATACAGACAATGACTTTTCAATTCCAATAAGGGTTAAAAATTACCCCACTCATCAACTCCCATGGCAGCCAAACGACACTTGCAGGTAAAATTCTAAAAGATGCCGCACAAGAGATAATCACTAGCATCAGGGCCTCCAAGCAAGCAAGGCTGTCAGGCAAAATGGCTTGTAGGAATTCTAGCCGTTTCCAGAAGCTTGTAATTACGCTGACTCATCCTGTATTACATTAGCAGATAGTTCACCAGCAAGAATATGCCTTAAACACCAAAAGGAAAAATATAACACAATGTATCTTTACCTTATAATAAATCCGGGCCACCAAACCCCGCTGAAGAACCCTTCATGAAAATTGACTGCTTTCAACAGAAAGGCGAGATTACCGACTGTGTCTGTGTTAAACGCCAGGAAACTGAAGGAAAAACACAGTGACCATCATTATTATTTTGTCCTCACCAAAGAATTTCAATTTGAAAGAAATAGGGTTTGTTTTTTCAAAAAGAATTTCCTCCCAATAGATAAGTAGTGTAAGTAGACGTAATCATCCCCTTGCATCTCTTACTTGCTGTATTTTGTGCCTCTTCTCGCTATTTTTTGGATGAATGCTTGGATCTAGTTATTCTATGTGGTCATCCTTGTGATATAAGGATAATTTGGTTTACTGCTTTTTCCACTTACGACTTTTTTAATCTTTTAAAGAATATTTTATTTAGCTTTTTAAAAAAATTTTATTGAAGTGTACTTGATGTACAATATTATATGTTACAGGTGTACAATATAATGGTTCACAATTTTTAAAGGTTATACTCCATTTAGTTATTATAAAATATTGGCTATATTCCCTGTGTTGTACAATATATCCTTGTAGCTTATTTTATACCTAATAATTTATACCACTTACTATTGTATTAAAATAGTGTTTAATATTTTACATAGTCTTCCTTCATTAACAGCTATATAATTTTCATGAAGTAGGTTTATAATAATTTACCCAACATTGTTGGACATTTGTTATAACAGTGATTATAAATGAATAGTAGTAGTCAAATATATCTGTCACAAAGTACTTGGCAATGAATAATGTTTCTCAAATACATTATGTATTTATTGCTAACTATTGCTGTGAATTATTCAATAATCTCAATAATTCTGTGATGTGGATACTACAATTAACCAATGTACAGTTGGGAGAATCTGAGGCTCTGCAAGATTCAGTAACCTGCTCAAGGTCACAGAGGCAGAACACGTTCAAGCTCAGTGTTGTCTCAGGGGATGCCCGTATTGAAGGGAAGAGGAGCCCCAGAGGGCAGTGAGAGGGGTGTGGACAAGCACAGGGTAGAGTGTGTCACAGAGGTGGTGACTTTCTTCAGCAGGAAGTAATTTCCATCTTCCCCATCTGGCAAATGAGGAAACTGAGGTACATGGGAGTTAAGAGATTTAGGCACAAACAGACTCAAAACACCCAAGTCTCCCTCAAAAACTCTTGGGGCTTTTCATCATGCAACTCTGCCTTTTGGGGTGATTTTGTCCCCCCAACACTCCATGAAACTTCTGTCTTTAGAACTTAGAATTAACTAAGGAGTTAACTCACAGCTAGGGTTTCCCATATCTCAGCTACCCCTTTGCCCTCCCCTTCCCCCAGATCTTTGGGAAGTAAGTTATTATAAGACCCAAATAATTTAGATTCTCTTTAACTAAAATTTAAAACCTACACGTAGCTTGTTGTTGCTTAATCAGAAGCCACAAGAGAAATATTAAGAAGCACTGATACAGTGCTTTTGAGAATCATCCTCCATTTAGACAAGTAAGATGGGAGGTTACTTACATGCCAGTTACATGGAAATTTAAATTATATCAATAGTTATTCTGAATCTAGTCTTTAGAAGATTGGGTTTCTGTTTCAAACTATTTCACAAAAGCTGTAAAGAACTTTCATATTCTACTGAAAAGCATGTTTTAGTCATTCCAGGGACTGTTACTATGAAACATGGAGACTGTGAATGTTGTTATTAGAAACTACCTTTCCTGGGATATTTATTGCAGAACGCTGTCCACCTGAGGTTGTGAACAGCATGCACCACAGGAAGTGGACTTCATCCACCCACCCTATCATAGTCACCTACCAAGCATGACTGTGCCACATGGCTCTAGGAGCTCACCCAGCATAGAAGACTAGGCAGAGTATCTTAGAAGTAGGAAAATCACTAAGGGCAACCTCCTTGTATTTCACAAGAAGGTCAAAATGACTCTAAATTTAAATAAAATTTAAATTAAATTCAAAGGTACATCATGAGTCATCAGGAAGCTGCAAATGGAAACCACAATGAGGTAGCATAATAAATCCACCAGAATGACTGAAACTAAATAGACTGACAACTTCAAATGTTGACAAGGATAAGGAGTAACCAGAACTCTCATACTTGTTGATGGACTGTAGAACTGTAAAACCACACTGGAAAAAGTTATCAGTTTCTCATAAAACTAAATACACATAACCTATGACTCAGCAATTCCATTCCTACTATTTGCCTTAGAGAAATAAAAACACATTGATGAAAACACTTGTATACAATGTTCACGGAAGTTCTGCTCAGAGGAGTGAAAACCTGTTAATATCCGAGGTGTCTACCTGTCACGAGAATGGAAAACAATACAATTATACGCCAATAAAATGGACAACCTAGAAGAAATGGATAAAGTCCTAGAAACGTATGCTCTTTCAAGACCGAATGAAGAAGAAATAGAAAATATGAACAGACTAATTACCAGTAATAAAATTGAATCAGTAAAAGAACCAAACAAACTAAAAAAACTCCCAACAAACAAAAGTCCAGGACAAGGTGGCTTCATAGGTGAATTCTACCAACAATTTAAAGAACAAGTAACATCTATCTTTCTCAAACTACCCGAAAATATCGAAGAGAAAGGAACACTTCTGAACTCATTATATGAGGCCAGCATCACCCTGATACAAAAACCAGTAAAGATATTAGACAAGGGGAGACCTTCAAGGTGGTGGAGGAGTAAGACGTGGAGATCAACTTCCTCCCCAAAAATACATCAGAAATACATCTACATGTGGAATAACTCCTACAGAACACCTCCTGAATGCTGGCAGAAGACCTCAGACTTCCCAAAAGATATATATATTTTTTTCCTTTTTCTCTTTTTGTCAGTGTGTATGTGTATGCTTCTTTGTGTAATTTTTGTCTGTATAGCTTTGCTTTTACCATTTGTCCTAGGGATCTGTCTGTCAGGGTTGTTTTTTTTTTTTTTCTTTCTTTTCGGTATGTGGGCCTCTCACTGTTGTGGCCTCTCCCGTTGCGGAGCACAGGCTCCAGACGCGCAGGCTCAGCGGCCATGGCTCACGGGCCCAGCCGCTCTGCGGCATGTGGGATCCTCCCGGACAGGGGCACGAACCCGTGTCCCCTGCATCGGCAGGCAAACCCTCAACCACTGCGCCCCCAGGGAAGCTCCGGGGTTTTTTTTTAGTATAGTTTTTAGCACTTGTTATTATTGGTGGATTTGTTTTTTGGCTTGCTTGCTCTTTCTTTCTTTCCCTCCCTCCCTCCTTCCCTCCCTCCCTTCCTTCCTTCCTTTCTTTTTTCTCCTTTTTCTTCTGAGCCGTGTGGCTGAGAGGGTCTTGGTGCCCTGGCCGGGTGTAAGGCCTGTGCCTCTGAGGTGGGAGAGCCAAATTCAGGACACTGGTCCACAAGAGACCTCCTAGCTCCACATAATATCAAACGGCGAAAACTCTTCCCAAAGATCTCCATCTCAATGCTGAGACCCAGCTCCACTCAAAGAGCAGCAAGCTACAGTGCTAGACACCCTATGCCAAACAACTAACAAGACAGGAACACAACCCAACCCGTTAACAGAGAGGCTGCCTAAAATCATAATAAGGTCACAGGCACCCCAAAACACACCATCAGATGCAGTCCTGCCCACCAGAAAGACAGGATCCAGCCTCATCCACCAGAACACAGGCACAAGTCCCCTCCACCAAGAACCCTATACAAAGCACTGAACCATCTTTACCCACTGGGGGTAGACAGCAAAAATAACGGGAACTATGAACCTGCAGCCTGTGAAAAGGAGACCCCCAAACACAGTAAGTTAAGCAAAATGAGAAGACAGAGAAACACACAGCAGATGAAGGAGCAAGATAAAAACCCATCAGACCGGGCTTCCCTGGTGGCACAGTGGTTGAGAGTCCGCCTGCCGATGCACGGGACACGGGTTCATGTCCCAGTCCGGGAAGATCCCACATGCCGCGGAGCAGCTGGGCCCATGAGCCATGGCCGCTGAGCCTGCGTGTCCAGAGCCTGTGCTCCACAACGGGAGAGGCCACAACAGTGAGAGGCCCGCGTACCGCAAAAACAAAAACAAAAACAAAAACCCATCAGATCAAACAAATGAAGAGGAAATAGGCAGTCTACCTGAAAAAGAATTCAGAGTAATGACAGTGAAGATGATCCAAAATCTTGTAAATAGAATGGAGAAAAGACAAGAAACATTTAACAAGGACCTAGAAGAACTAAAGAGCAAACAAACAATGATGAACAACACAATACATGTAATTAAAAATTCTCTAGAAGGAATCAATAGCAGAATAACTGAGGCAGAAGAACGGATAAGTGACCTGGAAGATAAAATAGTGGAAATAACTACTGCAGAGCAGAATAAAGAAAAAAGAATGAAAAGAATTGAGGACAGTCTCAGAGACCTCTGGGACAACAGTAAATGCACCAACATTTGAATTATAGGGGTCGCAGAAGAAGAAGAGAAAAACAAAGGGTCTGAGAAAATATTTGAAGAGATTATTGTTTTAAACTTCCCTAACATGGGAAAAGAAACAGTCAATCAAATCCAGGAAGTGCAGAGAGTCCCATACAGGATAAATCCAGGAGAAACACACCAAGACACATATTAACCAAACTGTCAAAAATTAAATACAAAGAAAAAATATTAAAAGCAGCAAGGGAAAAACAGCAAATAACATACAAGGGAACCCCCAAACAGCTGATCTTTCAGCAGAAACTCTGCAAGCCAGAAGGGAGTGGCAGGACATATTTAAAGTGATGAAAGGGAAGAACCTACAACCAAGATTACTCTACCCAGCAAGGATCTCATTCAGATTCAATGGCAAAATTAGAACCTTTACAGACAAGCAAAAGCTAAGAGAATTAAGCACCACAAAACCAACTTTACAACAAATGCTAAAGGAACTTCTCTAGGCAGGAAACAAGACAGAAGGAAAAGACCTACAATAACAAAAACCCAATACAATTAAGAAAATGGTAATAGGGACATACATATTGATAACTACCTTAAATGTAAATGGATTAAATGCTCCAACCAAAAGATACAAAATGGCTGAGTGGATAAACAAGCAAGACCCGTATATATGCT